TCCCGGCTGCCGGGTATCTAGACACAATGTAAAGTTTTAATTGTGTTCAATACGCTTACGTGCGGCACGAAGCCCGAGGAAACGTTCTTAGAGCGTCTAGTGTTTTTATTATCGATTAGCTGATGAGATGAATCGAGGTTGAAAAATACGTCATGGTCTCAATTAATTTTACATAGACACAACACTGATTTTATAGACAATAGGCTTGTCTTCCATGCGTAATAAGCAGCGAAAGGCGAACACGACTCAAGACTGTACTGAGAAAAATGCGATAGACAAATTACTCTTCCTAAAATAATTTCAGGATAAAAATGAAATATAACGACTGCCTTCAGGGTAAAGGAAGGCGCATTAAGCAGACTTACTGTTGAATTGCTGTTTTTCTCAAGACGCAGTTAATTGTAAACATTTATGTGGCTCGAAAATGTTCGTGTTCAACATTTCAATAAATTAGGAAGTGCTCAAGGGGCCTCGTCATTTTGTTTTCTGACTTTGTCGCGAGTGTTGGCGGAGCGTAAGTTTTTCAGCGCAGTTTTCAAGAATCGAAGAAATCCACGATGAAGTTCTTTCCACTCGATTCAACCACTTCGTTGCTGACAATTCTATGTCTGGTTGCATTACTCAGCCCGGTAAGTCAATACGCATTTGAAAATTACTTGTTATCAAGCACTTTTGTATCAAGCTAAAGTAGAATCCCGATTTCTCAAACCTCCACTGAAACCCAAAATTCGTTAGGAAATCGAGTAGTTCGAGTCGGGGTAAAATTATAATGTTCGACTGCGGGGAGGGAAACGACTTTTCGTTCGAGTTATCGGAAGGTTCGTTTCTTTTTACTTCGGTTATGACAAAAGTACCAAACTAGAGAACGTAACCATACATCGCGTTATTCTTCCCTAGCTGATTTTAAAAAGCTATCACAAACTTAACCTAATAATAATAATATTCGCTACATACAGAACGCAATTTAATTTTCCGTATAAAAATATTCAGGAAGTGGCTATTAAGACTTATATAAGTCACTCAGCATAAGCCAAAGGAATCTCAGGTTTATACCGAAGATAGTCCAAAATTATCCAACCAGGTCTTTTTTCGGACGTAGAGACTGAATTTAGTCATAGGAAAGGCATGCTGATTCAGTTTCAGGTCCCAAAAAATTAACTATTGACCTTAGGTAGGCATTTGAAACTTGGAAACATATTGAGCAAGTGAGAGAAACATTGCATAAAATTAAAGAATAAGAGCTACAATTAAATTACCAGTTGAAAATAAATGACAGAAGCAAAATCTGAGGTTCAGCTGTTATTCTAGTTATGACAAAAAGGACAATGTTACTAAAATATCCTGACAAGTAATTTTTGCCTTTATTAAGCGCAGCGCTTAGATGTTTCATTTAAGATGTTTTAATACGCGCTCAATATACACAAAATATTAGTATTTGGGTTTTACAGGCATTGTGCTTATCCTAACATTGTACTTTGTAATATTACTGGAAAGATGCTTCATACTGGAGTGGAGGTGTGTTCAATTTCTGTGCTCACAGCTCTAAAATTACTTCTTTATTTTATTGCAGTCAGCATTTTCAGCGGACTCTAACAAGGCGCAGGTGAGTAACACGGTTTATCAGCTGTCTAGTCACTTAACTCAACGAATTTGTCCACGAACAGGCTGCTCGAAAATTATATGTTCTGTGTTCACAATTATATGTTCTGTGTTCATACTTGATACTTTCCTATCATGTCAAGAAACTTCAATGATTTTTGTTCTTTAATTGGCTAATTTCTGATAGCCTTGTTTACAAAATCGTTTTGCAGGAGAAGGTGATTTATCATCAAACGATGACTCCAACCTGGCTGGAGGAGCATGCGTCCTATATTGACAGTTCCTATACGAAAACCACTGAACAGCTAACATTCAACGCAGGCTCAGTAGCTAACGCCGCTCTCCTTAAAGTTCCCATGATTCCTGCTGGTGTCTTGCAATATTCTGCCCCGCTGACCGTTAAAATTGTGGTTTCGCATGACGTTAGTATCGGGACAACACAGGACAGTGATATTTCATATGGTGGGTCAGACGGGATAAGTGTTGTCGGGATTACTATGAGAAATAAAGCTGATCACCGCTACAACAGCCCGTGTCATGGGTTCGAGAGTACCTCTGGTACGTCTTTGAGTAGAAGTGGATGGATCAACGCTTCCAAACCCAAGGTAAGCGACTCATTCTACCCTGGTCAGTTTGTGATCACTCTGAAGCTGGATGAACGCTGGGGCTCGTGCTACACTGCGCATGACGGAGGCTTCGTTAAGACCACTACCTTCACAAAGCGACTGATGCTCAACAAAGGACTCACGCTCGAAGTATATAAGAATGACGCACACGAGAAAACTGGAATCAAGTCCATCGAAGTCACTATCCTACAAGACGCTTAGCCTGAAAAAGGAACTTGCCTGCGAATCAGGTATACAAGGTCTCGGCAATCAAGTATTTGGCGTGCGCTCGGTTAAGGGTTAAATGACGGAGAGATAATAGACTTAAGCGTTAACAGTAACAAGACTTTGAATTCACAGTATCAGTGTAGGCGTAAAATTAAGGATATCAGTAAGGGGAATTTGTTTTTACTGTTTCTTTTAGCAAAATGTGATCAACAGTGATGGAATTCTTTGGGTAATCCGCTTTGCTTGGGCGAATTAAAAAAAAAAAAAAAAANACTTGATCTGTACCATGTGCCGTTGATCTCTGTTTCTGTTAGTTTCTGTTTGATTGATACAGTTTGATTTATATGTGCTAAAATAAGCATTTTTTGAATAAAAATGTTGTTCCCTCTCAAAAAAAAAAAAAAAACAGGTGTTGGTCAAAATTAATGTGAAGCTCTTTCCTTTAATGGCCTTTTGAATCCCTAGAATTAGATCTGTCATATTACTCACTCATTACACCACAGAGATTTTGGCCAGATTTTCTATAATACACAAGAAAGTATTTCATGTCACTAACTGGTCTCCTAATTTATAGCTCCCTTTTTACAGTACCACGCCCTTTGCACGCTATGCCCGTTTTCAAGTCTATGTATTTCTTTTTAGATATGGTGCGTGTTGTCCATACAGAGAATCAGGAGGGAATAGACTTATAAGTTTATGTCACAGAGAGTGCCAACTTAAAAAATTCAAACTCCGAGAAATCACCAATTTTACCTTTTTGGCCTTAAAAACGTTTTTCAAAGTAGAGCCCTGCCAATAAATCGCCAAAATGCATCAAATATCCAAAATTTCCCCCCAAAATGCCAAAAATCGACCAAAATATGTCTGGAAAATGTATTTTATGCGCCTTCATTGGTATTGTCCGGGAGATTTGATGACTTGTACGGGCGACTGGAGTCTGTATCCGAGAAACTCTCGGATAATCCGGGAGAGCTGGCATAGATGATATTATCATCCAATTGGGGTTTGTCAAGTTTCTTCATGAGGTTCATTAGCACGTTCTGTTTACTGACGAGGAGCGGTTTCCCTCCAGTGTCTTCAGAGGGGGGAGGAACAGAATGTGGGGGAGGAGGAGGAGGGAGAAATGGCCCCCAAAAAGCTGGGAGGAGGGAGGAAAGGAAATGCTGGGAGTAGGGAGAACTGGATGGACCTGGATGGGGAAATAAATTTATGGAATAATTAATAATTGGCACAAAAAAGAGGGAGAAATGAGATTTAACCCCCTGTTCCTCGCCCCTCTAGCCTCTCTTCAGTGTTATTGCATGAGTCATGCGTCATGAGAGCTGTGCATATGAGAAAGTTGCCATGGTTAAAAAGACGAATTCCAAAAGAGTCGAACGTCAGTATATTGCAAATGCGCAGAAAAACTGCGTTAGTTCTGCCTTATCGACCTGACCGATTATGTCGACTTTGCGCCTGCACTCACCTTACACAGGGGATGTCTGTGAGAGCTCGTATGTAACCATGATTGTAGAGCCACCGTAATTGTCGCGACAGCGTTGCAGTTGCTTTGTAACCCGGATTCACCAAATAGCGATTTATCCGGTGGATAGCGTTGTCCAGCCTTCGAACAGCCAGGAGGAGGAAGAAACCAATTTCTCAAGAACTTGCAAACAACAATACACTCCACCCGCGCGAAATCACATTCAGAGATCCTAAAATTATGACAAAAAATAGCTACTTATGTACAATGATTGGAAAAAGATCTAGAAACGAATTTTAAAAATGTATTCTCAAATACCGCCTGCAAACAGATATGTACATGAGGAAGGTTAGGAAAATGAACACGAGTCAAGGCTGTGAGGAACAAATTCGAATTTTTTCACTCTTTCAGGAGGGAGGGTGTAAGGGACGCATCCTTAAAGATGGCAAGTTAATGGAAAGATGGCAAGTTGAAGGTAACAAATTGCTCTCTTTGCAATGTAGTCATCCCACCCGACGTCAGACCAACCCCACGATGCGCGAAGAAATAATGGAGTAAGTAACATCTTGCGTGGGTGAAACGACTATCCTTGTTGCCAATTTTGTATTTGAAAGGTCAATAACAAGATCAAAGTCTTCAATAAAATAAACAACGTGCTAATCTCAAATGGGCATATTTATTCTCCTAGGATCCCTATAGTACATATTACGCCATGAGATACAACATGACTGACAAGAAGGCAAGAAGACGAAAAATTTAAAAACAGAGACTCCAAGTTTTGCGCTCACTCGCAAGATATGGAGTTAAACACTCGCAGAGAAATTTCGTATCTCCGTGCGGCCTTGTGGTATCCTCTATCTCTTCTCGTGTTCAACTTTATATCCGTTAGTCGTTCGCTGCACTTACTCGTGAGATATCGAGTTAAACCCTCGAAGAAATATTCCATATCTACACGCGCCCATGTATCATCCGCTGTTAACAGGTTAAGCAATAGAGCGCTTTTTCCGTGTTTACATAGCCTCATTTAAACACAGGGAGGGTTGGGAGAATTCGATACAGTTATGCAAACCCGAGGCGCAGTCGAGGGTTTGCATAACTTTCGAGAATTCTCCCACTCCCCGAGTGTTTAGGTGAGGCTATGTAAACACGGAGAAAGTGTTCTGTTGCTTTCATAAAATCATTCTCAAAAATACGCGCGAATATAAGACGTCACAATCGTGTTTACATACTCTCATCTAAACACCGTACCTATCGACCAATGAGAGCGCGCGTAGTAGCTATTTTATAATTATTTATTTTGAATGTTCTCTGTCCCTAACATGACATGGTCAAATGACAAAAGAGTTAAACAACAATAAACAATACTTCTTTCCTTTGTTTCACTTGTGACATTTAATATCACATTTCTTCTGTTATTTTGCAGATAGCTGATGCTTCCTTGGGAACTACTTAAAATTGAATCATCAAGTGTCTACTGTATTGTTTCATGTAACTATCGCTCAATTTTACTGAAGGTTTTCTGAACGAGAACGGTAGTTCTCATTCCATGACCTGTCTCTAGTGAAGACTACAGTGGAACGGAGTGGAACTGTCCCTAGTTAAGACTACAGTGGAACGGAGTGGAACTGTCCCTAGTAAAGACTACACTGCAACGGTGTGGAATCCCGCCTACAGCCAGCCCGGTAATTAAATACAGCCACCTCGTTATTACGGCCACTTTATTCTGACCCGAAGAAAAGATCAGTCAGTCATTTAATCATTTGAAGAACCCCTTAAATACATTAACGAAAGGTCGAGACTGGTCTCGATGCTCCAGCAGAAAAATGACGATACCTCGGAACAAGTACGAGTTACTAAGGGTACATTTGCGAACCCAATGTTGCGCAACGCAGAGTTAATATTTGAAGCTGGAAAAGAGAAATTTAACTCCAAAGTAATTTAGAGTTTAGGGAGACTGAGAATAATACAAAAAATATTTAGCCTGGGCCAAAGGCTTTATACACATAAAGGGAGTCATTCGATCCACCCGAATCAGATTGCACCGCTGACTCAATCAAGTCATTAGAGCGAATGACTAATGACCTATGAACAGGCCACCTAGCGGCCTAAACATGGGAAATCGACGAAAGAAGCGCCTC